GGGGCCCTTTCCTTGAAATGGTGACGTCTTCCCTGTGGAGCCCAGGTCCTGGTACAGCATCCTCTCAGCTCAGCGCCACACTGCCTCTGAGAAGGGAACCACAGAGTGCCTGGGCATCGCTGAATGGAGGGGTGTCTGTTCCAAGACCCAAAGAGTGAGGTTCTGAGGGCAAGGTGTAGTCCCCTGCCTGCAGCGAATCGGGGAGAGACCCTTGTAGGAGGGGTGCGTGCAGGTGCAGGTGCAGTGCCATCTCACCTGAAGGCCTCGGTCGCTACAAAGAGGCCGTCCTGGGGCCTGGTCCCCGCGTCCAGGCCCAGCCTCGCCAGGGCTGCAAGGCCAGAGTCTGGGCGGGTGATCCTCGCTCATGTGTGCAGTCTCGGGTGCAGCGCCAGGCGGTGCCTGCACCTTGCCCAAACTCCCGGCTCAGGGCTCTAGGCTCCCAGCAGCCTGCGGTCACCAAAGAGGCAATAGGGTTGGAACAGCGACCCCCAAGGGCCCCAACACAGCAGCACAGGGCAGGGACCGATCTGCCCAGTGGGTCCCACGTGGGGACAGCGCACCTCTGACCTCCCTCCTGCCCCGCACAGGCCCCCCTGGCGCAGCCCGAGTCCCCCACGGCCTCGGCGGGGGAAGACGTGCAGTCCCTGGCCGACTCCCTGGACTCCGACCGCGACTCGGTGTGCAGCAACTCCAACGGCAATAACGGCAAGGCCGCCAAGGACAGGGAGAAGGAGAAGCCGCGAAAGGACCGGGACAAGACCCGCGCCGACTCCGTGGCCAACAAGCTGGGCAGCTTCAGCAAGACGCTGGGCATCAAGCTGAAGAAGAACATGGGCGGCCTGGGCGGCCTGGTGCACGGCAAGATGGGCCGCGCCAGCGCCAACGGCAAGGGCGATGCGCCCGAGCGCGCCAAGGACAGGAAGGCCAAGGCGCGCAAGGGCAGCAAGGAGGAGTCGGGCGCCTCGGCCAGCACGTCGCCCTCGGAGAAGACCACGCCGTCGCCCACGGACAGGGCCGCGGGCACCTCGCCGGCGGACAAGGGCGGCGGCCCGCGGGGCGACGCCTGGAAGTACAGCACGGACGTGAAGCTGAGCCTCAACATCCTGCGCGCGGCCATGCAGGGCGAGCGCAAGTTCATCTTCGCCGGCCTGCTGCTCACCAGCCACCGGCACCAGTTCCACGAGGAGATGATCGGCTACTACCTGACGAGCGCGCAGGAGCGCTTCAGCGCCGAGCAGGAGCAGCGGC